TTTAGTACAGGGTCTACAGAGTCTCATTACACAGATCAGACTCATAGTGATCCTCCTGTTTTCAGCCTCCCAAATGCTGGGATTAGAGGTGCGGAACCACGCCCAGTCACAATTGTGCTCTGAGCGTGCCCTGGGGGTGGGGCCAGCACAGTGTGCTGGATGTTGAACCCTGGTCCCTGAGTCTGCTGAGACAGGCGCTTTAGTTCGCTGAGCTATCTGGCTTCCCCTTCATGCCACACTGTTGTACAGGCTCAGAAGTTTTACAAAGTAAGATCAAACTTGTAAGCATCTCAAGTTGACATGATAAACCAACCAATAGTATCTAACATTTAAGTCACTGAATTATAATTTATCAGATTTTCCTTTTGGTCTTTTCTTTTTTCTTTGTTGCTACCAAGAATTGAACTCAGGACCTCATGCTTACCAGGCAGGCACTGCACCACTGAGCTATATCCCTGGCCCTATATAGCATTTTCTGATTGCCTTTGTATAAATTATCTTCTTCAGGAAAGGAAATTAATTGAAGGCATAACATAAATTAGGTCATAATTTTACTATATAGGGTAGTAATTATGGACATTTTTGTTTTTCTTCCCTTACCTCCATCAAAAACAAAAACTCAGAAATACAAATGTTGATTTTTAATTTAAGAATATTTTATTCTTTATATATCTATGTTCTTTTAATTGTCATGTAGATTTTTATAAAGAATAAACTTTTCCAATGTAAAAGTAAAAATATACTATCATCCCAATGAGAATATGTTGTCATTCATTATTTTTTAGACATTTTCTTCTTGTTGATGGTGGTGGTATCTATTTATATTCTTATGAAGGACGCTTCATTTCTTCTCCAAAATTTCCCGGCATGAGAACAGATATTCTGAATGCACAGACTGTGTCTCTAAGTAATGATACTATAGCAATAAAAGATAAAGCTGATGAGAAAAGTAAGTACATTTTTATAATTTTCCATTTGTTAGCTAACACTTTCATTCTCATATTAATATTAACTTTATATGAAAGAATTATGAGCTTCCTAGTGTTTTCTAAACATAAATAAGAACTAAATTTGTGATACTGTATGTAGTTGATTGAACAAATAGGTATAACATCTGAGATCAGTGGTCAGAAATAAATCTTATTCAGAAGCTGTTGGTAGAGAGTTTTAATGCAATATTGTGGTCCTAAAAATGTATATTAATTTGTAATTTCTTCTTTTTTTATTTTAGGGCAGGGTCTACAGGGTCTCACTACTAGATTGGACTTGTAGTGATTCTCATGTTTATAGACTCCCAAGAGCTAGGATTATAGGCACGCGCCACCATGCCCAGTCTCAGTTGCTATCTCAAGCACACCCTGGGGGCGGGGCCGGCTTGGCAGGCCAGGGGAGTAAACCCTCCATTACTGCACCTGGTTGCAGGGGCTTTAATCCATTGAGCTATTTGGCCAGCCCAATTGTAATCTTTTTAATATTCTCTTTTATTTCATATGGTAACACAGTAAATATCATACTTCATTGTACTTTGTTTATATATTTTTAAACTAAGTTGATATAGAATAAAATTATAAATAATTTTTCATTTAAAATTTAGGCCATGTTAACATTGGCAAATAAATGAGTATGTCAAATGTTGTAGAATTCCACAGTACAGTGAAACAATTTTATTAAGGCATTGCTATATAACAGATTCATTTGCCTGGTAGATACTTTTGAGTGGCTACTATATGCCATGTCCTTTTATAAAGGTTGAGTATATAAAGGTGAATAAGACATATAATCTACTAAATAAAATAAGCAAATGAACAATTACATAAGGGACTACTAGCAGATATACATGGTATGAAGAAAACTAATCAGAGTGAGAGATTGGGGAGTTCTCAGGTGAGACAGGGAAATGACTAGGAGAAAGAAGTGGAAGCATTCAGAAATAGAAACGTTTGTCATGTTAAGGAACTGCCAGAAAGCCAACTACAGCAACTGGATCAACATGAGCTAAAGAGAAGAGAAGGTCGGGGAGATAGGTGAGAAACAGATCACGTAGACTTAACTGTGGAAAGGACATAACATGTCGGGGACAGAGAAGGGAGTCTGGACGGACTGTGGAAATCAGTTCTGTTTTCAGGGTGGCATATTTGAGTGCTTTTTAGACATTAAAGCAGAGGTGAAGAATAAACAATACAGTAAGGAAATCCAGAGCTCAGGAGACAGATTGGCCTAGCAATAAAGCTTTAAGAGTCTTTGGATTACCTCAGGGGTTAGAGTCATAGCTCTAATTGAAATTACAGTACCTGAGAAGTAAGTGTACACAGAGAAGAGGACCAAAAATAGCACAACAGTATTAGAGATGAGGAAGAGAAGGAGTCAGTGAGTAAATGGAAAACCAGAGAATGATCCTAAATCCTAGCATAAAAGTATTAAATATTGAATAGTTGTTTTTAATCTTTGTACACATATTATGAAACACTATTCATTACTGTGATACATTATGGAAATATCTAATCTTTATACTCAGTGAGTATATAGTTCTTACCATTGAAGACTATTCAGGAGTTTGAAAACTTTAATTTTCACTGTCCTTCAGATATATTACCTCACATACTGGCATGAAATATAATTCTCCTAAATAGAGCTAATTTTTAGCTCTTAAAGCATTATTTGAGAGAAGACATAACAATTGATTTGTTTTTAAAATACTTAATTTCCAGTTAAAAATGAGGAAAAGAGAATGAAATAAAATACTATCCAGACAGTAGACCAAATTAAGGCTATGTAATTGCTAATAATAATTTGGAAATCAAATTTTTGTCTTCCAAAACAAATTGGAAATTCCTGGCCACTGAGTTTTCTGTCTCTACTGTTCTTCTTTAAGCTTTAATAAACTAGGTATGTTTCTAACTATATATAACTTATTCTTAGTTTTTCTATAATTCATAAAATAAATGACTTTGCTAATTTTTTTTCCTGGTGCTGGGGAGTGGACCTCATGCATGCTAGACACGTGCCATCATTCTTGCCATGGAGGGGCTCTACTACTGAACTACAACCCCAACCCTTTTTTATTTTACTTTGAGACAGAACATAAGATGTACAGGTTATCCTTAAACTTACAATCTTCCTACCTCAGTTTCTCAAATAACTGGAATTACAAGTGTGTGTACTGTATCTGACTTCATTATTTGATCCTTTGATAATATATAGAATTTTAGAGATAGAATTATGACCACTTCCAGAAATATATTTATATGCTAATAAATTGTTTTACTTATGTAATTTTGAGTGTTAAACAAGATAATTATATAATTATACTCTGTTACAAACAAAAAAATCAAAAGATTAAAATAAAATTATTGTAGAACTTACATAAAATGAGAGGGAGAATATTTTCCCATTTTGCCTAGATAGAGGTATAGGCTAACAATAAAAAAGCACAGTTGAAGTACCTGATATCTTTCCTGTACAAGAGGGTTGTCTACACATAGTATCAGTGGCTTGTTCTTAATTTAGGAACTTTTTATAGGCATGTTTCTTGTGCCAAGCACTCTATTATAGTAGATGCTCCAAAAAAATGGATATGAGATGGATTTGAATGGCTCTGTAAATAAGCAGTAGAGCTGTTGCTTTGCATAGTGGTTTTGATTTGTCATTCCCTATAGTGATTAGTAACACTGGGCATCTTTTCATATACCTGTGTCTCTGAGCAACTGTTTTGTCTGTCTTTAGATCAACTCTTGATTATCAGGGAAAATATTTAACCTTAAAATATCTATCCCATTTCATTATGGGAGATAATTCCCCCAACTACGAGGAAGAGAAATTATTGCTAATAGCTCTCAAAAAATGCTACTTTAGAAATAATAGTAAAATAATCATGATCTAATTAAAAAGCAATCAGTTGATAAATTACACCTTACTTGCATCCATCTTCTTTTGAAGCTATCTGCCAGGAAGTCATAACAGATTATTTACTAAAACACATGTCATTGCTGATCATAGATCCCTTATAGCAAAAGAAAAATGCTTTAGAAATAATGCTAAATAACCATTATCCAATTTAAAAGTGTTGTTAAACTTTTTTGCACATACCTCCTTTCATAAGCTAATTAAAAATTCATGGAGTTACTAGAGATGTGGAGAAGATAATTCTGAAACTTCCTGTCAAGAATTTAGGGACATGTTCAGACTGGGAGCTAACTGAGGCCCCAGAGCAAGTATTTATAATAAACGCAGGTTAAGACCTCTCAGTTATTCTAAGGCAGGCCATTTGATATTTTGGACCTTTGGGTGAATTCTGTACTATGGTGATCAGCATATAGTACCATTATTGTTGATTTATGGAGAATCTCAGTTGCTGGTAATCTTTTTCTTCCCAAACTGAGTATACTGAAGTACAGTTCTGACACTGACTGCTCAGTGTTAGTACAACCCAAAGGTTAAGGGCAAGGTCTTCTGCAAGCCTGACCTTACTTTTGATGGCAGCCCAAGTTTTTTGTGCCTGCACCTCTGACCACTGACTACAAATTTGAGGGTCCCCACAAATCCCTCAGGTTTAATAACTTGTGAGGATCCTGCAAAACTCAAAAAAGCCCTATATTTAGTCTGACAATTTTATTATAATGGTTCAGACTTGATGAGGCTTGAGAGCTTTTATGTCTTCTCATGGAATCAGGGTATGCCACTCTTGCAGCTTTTCTCTATGTTCGACCAGGAAGCTCTACTGAGCTTCAATGTCCAGAGACATTTTGGGCTTAAGTACATACTTACTTAGTTATGCTTAATTAAATCATTGGCCATTTGGTTGAACTCAGTCTTGCAAATGTTGGGGGTAATGGTTAGGGGCTGAAAAATGCCTATTTTCTAAATCATGTGCTTGGTCTTTTCTAGTGTAAGGATCCTCTGTCCTAATGCTATCTAGCAGCTCTCCTGAAATCACCTTCCATATCAAAAACTCTTATTACTAAAGGATTCCAAAGACTTTTGAAGCTATAAACAGGAACTTGCAACAAATTATTTATTATAACACAGATCATCCCCTGGTCTTTGACCATGGATCCTTTGTGATAAGGATCATTCCTATCAATAATACCAACATTAATATACCTAATGTTTAGTAGAGTTCATGTGAGCTAGGGATAGGAATTTCAGTTCCCAATATATTTTATCATCTGTATCAGTATTATGCTTTTACCAACAATGCCAATATTACATCACATTGAGGAATAAAAGTGAAAAGGTGTTAGCAATATTTCACTAGTCATTAATAATTATTCCATCATTGTGTTCTGTGACCAAAACATCTTCCAACATGAGACCACTGAGGTTTGCAGGATTCCATTCAATTTTATGAAGTTCCAAAAGCAAGGGTGGTGTCTCAGTAATACATACCTTCACCTTTCATACACCTGGTATAATGAGGCACTGTTGTTTCACATAAGAGAGACTGAAGCCAAGAGACCACCTTAGGTACATTCTTATTGCTGAGACACAATATCCAAACCCCACAATTTGAAGGGAGAACAGTTTATTTTGGCTTATACTTTGTGGAGGTTTCAGTAGCTTGTTGAAGCTTTTAGTTTGTAGAGGTTTTGGTACTTGTTGCTGAGACACAATATCCAACACCTATAATTTAAAGGAAGAAAAGTTTATTTTGGCTTATAGTTTGTAGATGTTTCAGTGCATACTCAGATGGTTCCAAGGCAGGGCGGCACAACAGAGCGGCATGGCAGAGGATAAACTGTAGCATAGTAGGCAGAAAGACTTCCTTCTTCATTCCTTTTTTTATTACATCCTGGCTCTAAGCCCATTGGCTGGTGCTGCCTATAGGATGGGAGGGTTTTCTCTCTTTAGTAAGTCCTTCATCCACAGGCAGAACTGTGCAAAGCCAATCAGTGGGACTAACCCAGTACTGTGTCACATACCATGATAGAGTCAATCCCTAAAGCCCTGCCT